CCTCTTCTTCTCTCACCACACACCTTTTCTTCCATTTTTTTAAAACTACCTTGACGAATTTGTTCGGATTTTTCTAGCTCTGCTTAAGGCTAGGAAACTGTCGTAAGTAAAACATGCTAACAAAATTTTCATGTGAAAATAATTTATTTTGCTCATTTGCTTACTCTTGAATAAATTTCTCGCTCATATGCCCGCAAAGGATCCTATGTCAAATACTTGGTTTATCTGTTTCTTACATGTGCTCCCATTTGTCTCCAAAAGTTTCCCAAGATTTCTGTTAGACTGAGGTAAGCGTGGCTGATGTGTAGTGCACTCATGCATCTTTTTAGAATTAGTTTATTTCAGTTTGTTTTTCTGTATTAGAGTTCGAAAGAGCCGAGAGCCTGATACGGAAAATTCTTTGTTATTTGAATTTGCAGCGCAATCGAAGAAAGGCCGACAGACGTACCAGCGTTATCAGACGTCAGTGCTTGAGAGCAAGTTCCAACAGAGCAGCTATGTTAGTAAAAAGCAGCGTGAGGAGCTGCGGCTTCAGACCAACCTCAGCGATCGACAGATCAAAATTTGGTTCCAGAATCGACGCATGAAAGCCAAAAAAGAGAAGAATCGATGTGAGGAGCAGAACGAGCACTCCGCTCTATTGCCCGCAAATCCACCGAAGCAACTCGTCGTCGATAACGCTGCAGCTGCGGCCGCCGCAGCTGCTGCAGCTGCAGCGGCGGCTGCGGCCGAGGAACGCGCAGACAAAAAAGCAGGTGGTGGCAGCAGTACAGGGTGGTGCATGGCAGCCATGCCGACAATGCCACAACCGTGGCCTAACCAAGTACCACCTCATCCTGCATCCTATGTACCGTACCCTATTTGTCCACCTAATATATGACTTGATTTGCATTTGTTCTTTACATTTGCATGTGTTATTCATGCATTATACTGTTTTATTTCTTGACACCGGTGGCACGGTCTGACATGAGTATCGCCAAAATCAAAAATTTGCTAAAAACGGCCGAATCGAACTGAGTGCGAAACCATTACAAAGCCGATGAAGAAATTTTGTATTGGTGCGGGCGACTTCAGTTTTATCTGTGTACCTTGCCAGCGCGACGGAGTGGGATAAAAGAATTGATATGAGTCGAAAAGAGGGGGAATATATTCAAATTAGTAATCACTGACAGTATCGAAAGGAGTGCGAAAAATATTTGGAAGGAAAAGATTTACTAAGATTTGACCCCAAGAATTTTCAATGTGGACTGAAAATGAATATCTTCACATTTTGCCCAGATTTGTCAATTTGAAGTAGATGCGCATACCTCTGTTAGAGATGTGTTATAACTGTAGCAGAAAGCAGTATTGTTTTTTGAGGGAGGTAGCACAAAAGTTTGCTAAATGGCTTATCTGAAGAGCAAATTTTCGCAGTATAAATGATGGCATTAGGAAAAATTTCTACACACCGATACTTTAGAAATCAGTGCTTTTGTTATGGTTTCAGTAATTCGTGTGTATTTGAATTTATATGAATTTTCCGATTATATGTGTGTTCACCTTGCGACAACTTTTTCATTTTGTTAAATGGGCGCCTTGTTCATCAGTGAATATTACTTACGTTAGAAGATCTTGCACCACAAATTTTCCACATTTTCATTTCTCACTGCGATATCTTGATCTCTACCACATTCCTTAGCTACTGCAGTCAGCGACAGCGGAAGTCACCTAACTTTAGGCTTAACTTTAATTCTGATCTTTCCAAACTGATTGACTATAATCTGATTTGATTTAGAAAAATAAGCTGCTTTTTCTGCTGCAGCCGATGTTCCCACTTCAGTGCTCCTTGCATCATTGTTCACTTCTCATTTCTCACTATTTTTGGCCACCATTTTTTGTCTTCTGCAAGTATGCACCTCGAAAAATTATTCCTGTGCTCTCAGCAGCCCTCCAACAAACATCCGGGAAAATCCAAAAAAGGCATAATTGCAGATAGCTGTAAGAAGAGAGGGAGGCAAACGTACAGCCGTCATCAGACGCTGGAACTTGAGAAGGAATTTCATTACAATAAATATTTGACTCGACGGCGGCGCATCGAGCTGAATCGTACGCTGGGTCTCACTGAACGGCAGATCAAAATTTGGTTCCAGAATCGCCGAATGAAGAAAAAAAAGGAGGATAGGGCGAGGGAAGAATACAGAAACTACTCGCATGGTTGTGACAATTGATCCTTCGTTTTTGTCATTTAATCGGTCACTAATTTATTACATTTAAATCAAATATCTCCCACATGCGGGCGGCCTAAAAGGCCACGTTGTTTTGGACCTCGAACACAGTGGATTTTATCCTGCCAGACTCTCCATATAGAGGACCTGTTTTTGTAACTTACCAAGGCGCTCATTTTTTAAGCGGTTGCTAGTGGCGTAGGACACTGTGAAGCAAGTTCATTTCTTAATTAGATGGGTTCAAGTTCAGCTTCTGAACTTTTTCTGCATTATTTCTGCTATTATTTTTGATTTTTTACAGTACTTTCTTGCAAAACTGAAATATTGCGACAGAGTGAGGTAGAATTCTTCGAGCAGTTTTTCTCACAATCGTTTGGGATAAAACACTTCAACATTTTCGTAAAGAAGATTTTTTGCATAAAATTCCAATCAGAGGCTGAACATCGACGTCGTCGTCTGTTTCGACCTTCGCTCTTGTGCGTCCGCCCGCAGTTGCATTTAAAGATAAAACTTGATTTGCAGCATTGGAAAAACAGATTTCCAGAAAATTTTAAGAAGACGGTTTTTCATCACGTCTCAAAAAAGCTGTTTTCCAGTAGTTCACTATCGAACCAATAGAGTCCTACCTATTTATGGATATTCACGAAGATTGTTTCGCCTGATTCTTCGCCAAAAAATCTTGCGGATTTCTCAAAGATGTCAGAAATGCGTCCAAATAAATACTGATTGAGCTGCTTCCTCAAAAAAAAAGTGTGCAAAGCGGTCAGGGACAATGCAGCTAACAATTTGAATTGTTGGGCATTCACAAAAAGGTTGATGAAAAATTTTCCAAACAAGTGGTAAACAAAAAAGAAGCCATTTCCTTTTAGACTATAATTGAAATTTCCAGCAATTCTCCCAGTGTGCATAAGGGGAATAAATTTGCAACAAGCAAATAAATCATGGAAAAGATTAGAAATCTCGAATATGTAATATTTCCCAAGTACTCAATATACCGCAGTGTTTGATGCTCAAAAATATGCTGTAAACTTCCTTGCACTTTAATAAGATTTCTTCTAAAATGTCAAAAAAAAAAAGAAAATATATAGGAACAACGGCCACAGTGGTTGACATTTATCGTAGAGCAACTACATGCCAAATACAGTAAAGTTCATTTCGTTCTGTACAGCCAATTTAGGAACATTTGGCCTTGTGTTAAATCCTGAAGCTTTTAGTAAGTGATCTGCGCCAAAATGGGACGAGTATGACTCCACTAGGATATGTCAGGATTTGTTATTTCGCCATGCTATGCAGAAGAACATTTCACTGCGTACCACGTCGTATGCCACTTTCCATTTGCGTACGGAGACAGCACCAGTAGGTCTGAAAATGGCATTTCAGCAGTCTTAGTGAAATGCTGCCGCATCCTGAGCCAGCTTTCATCTTCCCACAGTCCACTGTAAGCCAGCTTGCTCAAAATATGCTACGTTCTCTTACAGAACAACACACCAAACAATTAGCGGATGACTTTTTTAGCGAGACCTCTTCCTCACAATTTTCTTTTAGCACTTTCCACGGCTCAATACAAGCTAAGACTTAAATCTTACTTTCTTAAAAATTTATGAACATGGCCTTCAAAAAGTGTGAATGCGCAATACAACCATGATTGAAGCTCGTTGCGTTTAATTCCAGATCCTGCAGCACCTAAAGAAATATTAACATAGCCTTTCCTGCGCACCTGGTTTCTCCAAACAAAATGTTTGACCGAAACTTATAAACATTATATGTCCTAGGCGGATGCTGCCACACCAACGCGACTGGCTTGTCGAACCTCACGGACGACTCTGTCGCCGTTGAATTCACGATCCCAAAACAATGAATTTTCAAAAAAGATTCTTCCGTAGGGAAAGCCACTTTGCCACCACTCTGTGCCGTTTCTCCATTACGTCCACTGCTTCCCATGTTGCTGTCCCACTCATGCGACTTCTGCTCTTTTCATCCACAGGCAAGTAATCAAGTCTTTGCTCCAGTGCCCGGATACAGTATCCAAATGCCTGACAGACTTGAATTGCTAATGAAGGTGCGTGTGCCACTGTTACATTTAATATATTTTATTTGCTTCACTTAAGTAAACACAAGGACAAGACAACAAGCGCAAATTATACCTAAAATTAGGAAAAATAAAAATAAAAATAGAGGAAAGTAGACGTTACGATGTGTGGGTGGAGGAGGAAAGAGGAAATGAAGGGTGGCGGAGTGAAAATTGCATAACATAAAAACAGTGGGCGACCAGTAACACGCTCTCCCCAAAGCATTTTTGCTCGCTCTAGACATTTCATCCTAAAAACGCGTCTTAAGTAACCTCCAGCAAAGAGAAAATCAAATTCTCACAGACTGCGCTTTTCTCACTGAGAAGCTCATCAGAATGGCAGCAGAAAGGATGAACCATCTGCTGCCTTTGGGCAGATCCAGAGACCTTACAATAGGACAGTGCTAAGCTGAAAGAAACGCCCGCAAACGCCCAACCTCCCTGAAGGAGTAGAGCGCGCAAGTACAGAAACAGCACTCACTCTGCCCAACCTAGCTGCAAAATACCGGACTGCGCACGCACCGTGCAACAACAACGAGATTTTAGAATCCTCACATTTCAATACACAGCAAATATAGTACAAAAAAAAACACATGCACAACAACACGAATTACACACGTCAAACCGTCTTTCTGATCACTTCTGGATTCACGTGAATATTCGAGCTCACCGTACCACCGGCCAAACAACGCTTCAGTTGTTCTAACAAAGCCAATGCTCCTTCATTTGTACCACCTATGCGCTCTTGCAATTCCTGCAGATTCAGAATTAAACTTTTCAAAAAAGGAAATAAAGAATTTTTAGAGCCAGGCTGAACAAAACAACTGCAAGAAGCTTCGAAAACATAACAACGCCTAAAAAAGAGTTTTATAAAAATTCATGACTGTGTGGTATTAATGTGCCCATTCATAATTACCACCATAAAATTTAATAGGAAGCAAGCACAGTAATCTACGACACATGCACAAGCCTCTAACACAAGTCGTGACAACTACAGCTGCTCATGAGAACTTCGTAAAAGCCATTTTAACTTGATTACGGCCGGGGAATATTACCCATTAAGCCGGCTTTTATATGACTGCATATGCTGATGCACTTTTTTAAGCTAGCTTAAGGACAAAACAAGCCGAATCGAAACAACCAGCACATCATGCGATCCATTAAATCTGCTTGTTCGACAATGATGTAAAATCAGCTGACTGTTTAAAAAGCGAATAATCACCGTAATCAAACTGTTTGGCGCACTTGATTCAGACTTCGTTGCTGCGCTGCTCTCGACAATTTTTTGCCGCTTGCCACTGCTTTCGCCGCCTCGTGGATCCAATTCGCATGATTTACTTCTAAAATAAAACCTGATGACCTGCGGAACAACTTACAACTTCAATCAAGTTTTCAAGTGCAACTGTGCCAGAAGCTACAAAACCTCTTTGAAAGAAGCCAGGTTCTGGAACTGAACTGACTAAAAAATATGGGGAAGACAATGACCAGTGACGGCATTACAAAATCTGGCTGGGTAAAGGTCATTTTGCTGCCACCAAATAAGCAGATTTTCCCGAATTGGTGATTTTGCCAGAGCAACACGAACTAAAAACACACAAAAAAAAAACATGAGCAACCAGAAAAAAATTGCAACTCATCATACACAATCAATATTTGGGGAAAAACGATGTTCTATTGTGAACTTGACAAGGATGCGTTTTATGCCTGCTCGATACTTTAAAAAACGGTATTCGAAAACGGGATACTGAGGGATCATATCATCAAACCGGACTGTCAGCATGCATCGAAATTACCGTGCATCAAGCGTTTATAGCGCATGCACGATATGCGGCTTTTTCAAATTATGATCCACAGTAATGACGAATCAGCAAAGCAAGAACAATGGGCTTCAATCATTCAACAAGTAGCTGCAGAAGAGGTTAGACAGTAGGCCGAAGTATTCTTCTCATTGCAAAAGCTCGAAATGTTCAATGTAAAGAGGAGGGAAAGTAGTGTGGACGAACAAATGCCCCAATATATTTGAAAAGATTTTTCACTGTTTCCATCTTCCATGGTTTTAACGTGGAATACCTACAGGTTCACTGGCGACGCAAAAAAACCCTAGGAAAATTGGAATTTTCAAGCATAGCAGTTTCGAAATAAAAGCCTGTCTTCAGACATTACATTTCCCACAGCTTCGAAACTAAACCTATTTAATATTTTAGTTTCTTCTAAAGAAGTGAAAGAAAATGCATGAATTTACGTACACTTCTAAAAAATTTAGGGAATGAAAAAAGCGACCACAACATAAACCTCGTATGAAGACTTTTCAAAATTCAAAGCTTTTTTTTTTCTTGGAAGAGCAAAGAATCTAACTTTGCGAAGAGTGGAGGTAGAGGAAAACAGGACGAAAGAAGCAGAAGAGGTTGGTATTTCAGTAGGAAACACTTAGCACAGCCGGATTTGCCAGAGACAGATATTCACCCATAATTAGCCTGAGCGAACCATAAATTGTCCCAATAAATGTGCATGGAAATGGGATTTACCATCGTTATCATTGCCACATAGCCCACGGAAACACATATACATGCGCGCATGCATGCACTCACTTGAGAGACATAATCGAGTGGGAGCAGACACAAGCCCTTCGAGTAGACTATGATGAGTAATTTGCAGTCCCTCACATGAGTAAAATTAAAGTCCTGCCCTTCTATTTAGCGCATCATAAACGGAACTACTCGAAAGCAGCCTCTCATGTGCCTTATGTATTACTGTTCAAACTTTTTTGATTTCTTCTTTCCTCATTACCTTCTACATTGATAACAATTACAAAATTTCAACATTGAAACTTCCGTCTGTAGTCAGACTGTGCTTCCGATCATGCTAAACGGAGCAGTGGTGCCCAGGGTACGCCAGCTTGATTGTGTAAAAGCTGAAACAGCTCGCTGGCCGATCACTTGATGCAAAATATAGGTTCTGCTTCGGAAGCGCGACTATGAAGGATTATCAAATTTTTTTAGACCACGCACACTGTGCAAATTAGTCTTTAAATTTAGCATACATTTTAATCCCGACAACGAAGCTACCGCACGTCACTGGCTCAAGCTAATGAAAGTGATTTTCTTACTATCAATCTTCTGGATCTACAAAACCGATCAGGCCAAGCACAACGCAGCAGGCTGCTTAACAAGTCCAAAAAGCTGTCGGTCGCCAGAAAAAAGATGTCAAATTCCAGTGGAGAAAAAGCTAAATTCAAGCGCAGGGGCACTCGAGCTCACTCTGAGCAGGTTATTTGGCCTGAAAAAACGTAAGAACTCGGGCGATTTAAAATGACTGAGAAAATGGCAGCAAAGCGATTTTAGTGGAGTTGCCTATTTGGACACCTATTTGGACTGCCAAGGGTTACAAGTCAATGAAAATGCGCCTGCTACAGCTGCACCGGACCAAGCAGATGCTTGCTTGTATGCTGATGTTTCTCCATCTAGGCTATAAATGGTTGTCTGGCGCTCCCCATAATGATTAGCATATTTCCGATTTCTTGCCGCTAAATTGTTCAAATTTAAACTGGACAAAAATATGCAAGTAGAAAAATTACTTACACGTCGGAGCCGCTGTCTACGCTCTCGGTAACAAAACGTTTCCTCTTCAGTAACTTCTTCTGCAATACAGTTTTGGTGTGAAAAATAGAACAGGAAACAAAAATGAAGTATACCTCAGTCTACCGTACTATTACTGAA